CAAGCCAGCCGCCTCCGGGCCCCTTTCCTTTCCCTTTACGGAAGCTCGCTTCCCTCCCGCCCTCCTCTAGGCCGCTGTTCCACCGGGCAGCCCCAAGCCGCCCGCCCGCCCGCTCGTCAGAGGAGCGACGGCGCGTGGGGGCGGCCTCCGCTTTGCCTGGGCGCCGGGCGCCTGCGTGCAAGAGACGAGGAGGCGGCCGCGCTCGGCAATCCGTGCCGGCTGCGCGAAGCTTGGCGTCGGGACGGAGGAGGGAGGGAGGGCCGTTTCCCCTCCTTTCTCTCTCTCTCTCTCTCTCTCTCTCTCGTTCCCCCCGCCCCGCGCTCCTCAACTCCACCCAGCCCGCCTTTTCCTTTGCGGGTCGTTGGACTCTCTGAGCGAGGGAGGGACGCGGGCAGGCAGGCGGGGAAGAGGAGGGAGGCTCAGCCACCCTCTGCAGTGCCATTGCACCAACAAGGAGCAGGTAAAGCCCGACTGAGGAACCCCGGGAAGCTCCCCTCCGGGACCCGCCCGCTCCTCGCCATATCGAGCCGCTCTGCCTTCTGCTCCACACCGGCCCCTTGCTCTCTGCACTCCCCCCCCCAACCCTCACCCGCCCCAGTCCCGGCGCCGCCGCTTCTTCCACTCCTCCTCCTCCTCCCCATTGCCGGCTGTCACTGAAGAGGAAGTGGCTGTGAGGCCTGTAATGTGGAGGGAAGGCTGCCTGCCTGCCACCTTTGGCGCGCCAGGTTCTGGCAGCGATACTGGAGGAGGTGCTCTCTGAGCGTTTGCTGCTGTGGTTCTTCAGAAGAAGAGGAGAGTTTCCTTTCTCACCTCTAGACGGGGCAGGGGGGGAAAAAAAGGAAAACAGTACCGCTTACTGTGGGTTCTGCTTCCCTTCTGTTTGCCTCATATGTGAAACCAGAGATGTTCCTTCCCCATTTCTCTCCTCCTTGTTGTTTTAGTTCTCTGAATCAAGCTGCGCTGAGGTTTTGGTTTGTTTTGTTTTTGTTTTTAAATTTCCTTTGTCTCCTGAATTTTAGTTCTGGCCTTTTGTAGCATCCAGTTTTAAAAGTCCTTATTTTAAACCTACATTCTCTACAGGGCCTGCTCAGAAATTAATCCCATTTAGTTCTGTGTGGTTTGTTGCCACTTAATGGGTGCAGGAAGCTTACTTACTCTGAATCTCCAGTTGTTTTGGTTATTTCTGTTAGTTTTCATTTCTGTAGTTCCTGTTTATGTTGAGGGTTAAAAAAATAATAGAAACTATTTCTCAAGTATAGTGAACAACCTGTAGTTTATTTACATGTTGGTTATCATGTTTCCCCAAAAATAAGACAGGGTATTATATTAATTTTTGCTCCGAAAAACACATTAGGGCTTATTTTCAGGGGATGTTTTATTTTTTTCATGTACAACATTCTACACATTCACATCTAGTCATGTCATCTTCTGGTTGCTGCACAATGGTGGAGGGCAGAGTTTCATTTAACTGCGGCTTATTTTGGGGGTAGGGCTTATATTACAAGCACCCTGAAAAATCATACTAGGGCTTATTTTCAGGTTAGGGCTTATTTTGGGGGAAACAGGGTAGTACCAGTCAATGCACATTTGGTTTACAATGTGGTGAATGGTGGAGGACTATCTCAAGACCAGGAGCTGTCACATGATAAGTGAAGTCACCTAGTAGATGACTGGTGGTGTGGAGGAGACGGCAGTCTGCTGATCTTTCTGTCTTCTCCCATTTGTGAGGCTGGAACCTGAGCAGGAGATTACAGGCAGGACCTTTTCTTCTCTACCTGTGAAGCAGACAGGCTGGAGAAGGTTGGGTGAGCAAAAATTGAGATTAGATGCAGGAGTGCTCCAATTTGCCGTGTTGGACTAGCTAACATTGTTTTAAAATCATTTTTATTACAACTGTTAGCCTAGAAGGTGATGACAAAGTGGAACTGTGGTTTTATAATTATTTATTATACTTCTGTAATGGATTTTATTTCTCAATACTTTTGTTTCATGAATTATTATCAACACTATGTACAGACAGTCCAGAAACAGGATTCTCAGTAACAGAATTAGGAAAGCTCTAGTTCAGTGGCAGCGAACCTTTTTGGGCCCGAGTGCCCAAACTGGGGGGAAAAAATCCAGCAGGCAGCGTGGTGTGGTGGCAGTGGCTGTGGTGGAACTGGAAGGGGTGGCAGAAGGGGGAATCCTGGGCATGGATGTGCCTTGCAACCCCACTCCTGATCTGCCGCCAGTGCCAGCTGCTCCATCGCACTGCCAGCACCGCAGCTGCAGCAGCCTCCTGAGTATTGGCTGCCGGAGGGGGGGAGTAGCGATCTGGCGACTTATGGCTTGCGTGCCCACAGAAAGAGCTCTGCGTGCTAGCTGTGGCACATGTGCCATAGGCTTGGCATCGCTGGTCTAGTCGATAAGCTGACTGAATAGATGTGGAGTTTGATTCCCCGCTCTTCCTCCTGGGAGAAGAGTCAGCTTGTTTAACTTTGGGCAAGCTAATACTGTCTCAGAGTGCCTCCAGAAGTAGGGAATAGTAAACCACTTTGGAGTTTCTTGTACCTAGAAAATTCTGAAAAGAGTTGTTCTAAGTACTGTAGGAAGTGACTTGATGACATGTGAGTATCAAAGTTCTTTCAATGTATGAAAACTCTAGTTCATTTGTGGTAGAGCTGCAGTATAAACTAGAGGTGTTCGGATTTGTGTTTTTGGACAGCAACTCCTGGAAATCCCCAGACAGCTGTGGGAATTGTGAGAGTTGTAATCCAAAAATATAAATGGGCACATCTCTATTCCAAACACTGAAAAATATAAAATATTATTGACATTGAAGGCTGGAATTCTACAGACCAGTATAAGAGGCCTTTCACTCACTTCAACTGTACAGTATATACTTCTTAATAAACATACATAAGATAAAGATTGCCCCCCAGCAACAGTTAAGAAACCTGTGGCTCCATCCTGTGAGGCGCTTAGAATTCTCTGCAGTAGTTCAGGGCTGTACACTAGCAGAGAATTCTACATATCTCACCAAACTTCAAATCCTAATAAGGCAGTTAGAATAATGTTAATTTGCTATAACTCTGTTGCATAGATACACTGTTGGTCTCACACAGTCAAGGCTAAGAACTGGAAATTGTAATATAACTGGAAGTATCTGCTGTGAGTTACACATCAAAAAAGAAAACCAAGGACATACCCTCTCCTTTACAGTATTTTAAATCTGAAATTAGACTAACAAAAAATAAGATAATTATTCCTCCGTTTCCCAAATGTTTTCGCAGAGTGGCTTGCCTAGTTTCCTCTACTTCCACATCTTTAGAAAATTGTTTGTTTGCAGTTCTGAGAAAGCCCGCAAAAGAATCTGTCTGTTTCACTCACAGCTATTGCAGATACATGATACTGTTGCCTTTGCAGGAAAGGGAGTTTTTATCTTTCCCCCTTCCATATGGGCTTTCCTAGAGGTCATGTGATAATTGCATGACTATTTGACTCACAAAGCTCATTCTTCCAACCTGAGACTTTGAATGCATTTCTCCCAGGCTGGAAGCACCTGGCCATTTGGACTTTTACGGCTTTTTCCTCTTATCCCCATTTTAAAGAACTTTCTAGCTAGCCTGACAAAGAGTTCTGTAGAGGTTGAAATCATGTGTAGTTTGTGTATTTCTCACATGTAGATTTCAGTTTGGATCTTTAGGAGTGATAGTAATTGTGCTGATAAACTTTAAAGCCTGCCTGAGTGTCATATTATCAGCGTATTGGTTTAAGTCAAAGAGCATGGAAGGGAACAACAAGAACAGTGCATGTCAGTCGTCATTGTGACGGGTGGCAAGTGCATTTGTGGACTGACATCTTCAGTCAATATATAGCTTGTGCCCAGAAAAAAACCTAAGCAGAAAATGTTCAAGACATGAGTATTTGTATCTGTGTGTGAAAGAAAGAGTTCTTGTAGTGATATTTGAAGTGATATTTTGTCTGTAGAGTGTCAAACCTCACCCTGTATTGATTGCATTTGGTGTAAAAAAATCATTTTAAACCTGTTTGCTTCCCTGTAACGTAACAACTTTAAGTATGAAAAAAATTGAGATATTTTTGTAGATTGTACTTTCTTAGCAGAACTGGAAAGTTTCATGCTCTTATAAATCTAATGCTGGGGCATCATGTTGAATGGTTCATTTTTGTTTCTTAAGAGTATCCTCGGTTTTGTGTATCTCAGTACAGTGAATATGCAAAAGTCATGCTGGGCCAAATCAGACAAAGTGGGCATCTGGACTAATCCAGTTCCCTCTTTCCAACAAAAGCCAAATAAATGCCACAAAAGTATCCCTAGCATTTACCCTAATTCCTCAGTAGCCACTCCAGAAAATACACTCCTATGAACTTGAGATTCTGTTAAGCAGTCATAGTTAATGCATGTTGATTGACTGAAGTCATGTTGTTGTTGTTTAGTTGTTTAGTCGTGTCTGACTCTTCGTGACCCCATGGACCACAGCATGCCAGGCCCGCCTGTCTTCCACTGCCTCCTGAAGTTGGGTTAAACTCATGTTGGTCGCTTCAATTACACTGTCCAACTGAAGTCATATAAATTAGTATAATGAAATCAGATTTTAAATTAGTGGGCAGTGGGCACCTCCAAATCTTCTGGAAGCATACATTATTACCACACTTTTTGCATATCTATTCTGTGTCTATTGGCTGTCAGTTTCATTGTTTCACTCCTGAGTTCATATTCTATTATAATATACGAGAGAATAAAAAGTTCGACTTTCTTCATACATCACATATTTTTATGACATATATAACTATTATACACCTCTTCATGCCTTACATCTTTCTTGCAGGAAAGATATTCTAGATAAAGTTACTCTCTTTTGTATGTGTCCTACCTCTGTGTTCTTTTTGAAATACAGAATTAGAATTGCACAAAAATTGGGCCACACTACGGTTTTGTATATTGTTTTCTTTCAAAACCCCTTTTTCCCCTTCAGTGGTTAATTTACTGAACCATCTACTACAACTCTGAGATCTCTTTCTAGTCAGTCACCCTCACTTCAGCCTCCATCAGCTTATATTTCTAAATGCAAAATTTTATGCATTGGGACTCTTTCCCCCATTGTAGGCTACCTTATATTTACATACATTGGAGCTCATTTTCATTAGTAGTTAATATTGAATATGAATCTAATTTTACATTTTATTAGCCATTGCTCCACTTCAGTGTCGCTTTGGAATAAAAGGTTTTCAACACCTTCAGTTTTGTGGTGCCATTCACGGGCTTAGCTACCTCACTGCTGATGTCTTTCTCCAATTCAGCAAGTGGCGCTGCTCCAAATATGGATGTTTCAGGGACTTACTTCTTATCCAAATTGTGCTGTGGATCATTCTATCCCTAGTTTCTGCTGATGAATTGTGTCAGAAGAATGGAAGTCCATGCATTTAACAATTACCTTATCTCCATATTATTATTTTTCC